AGAGCCCAGGCGGTAGGCCCCCAGGCGAAAACCCACCACTCGCTCACCACACTCACCACGACCCACACTCAGCTCACACTTGTTCCTGTAGCCTCGCTACACTCACACAGTACACACAGTACACACACAGTACACACACTCAGCTCACACACAGTACACACACACAGTACACACACACAGTACACACACAGTACACACACAGTACACACACACACAGCAAGAGCCCAGGCGGTAGGCCCCCAGGCGAAAACCCACCACTCGCTCACCACACTCACCACGACCCACACTCAGCTCACACTTGTTCCTGTAGCCTCGCTACACTCACACAGTGCACACAGTACACACACAGTACACACACAGTACACACACACACAGCAAGAGCCCAGGCGGTAGGCCCCCAGGCGAAAACCCACCACTCGCTCACCGCACTCACCACGACCCACACTCAGCTCACACTTGTTCCTGTAGCCTCGCTACACTCACACACAGTACACACAGTACACACACAGTACACACAGTACACACACACAGTACACACACAGTACACACACACACAGCAAGAGCCCAGGCGGTAGGCCCCCAGGCGAAAACCCACCACTCGCTCACCGCACTCACCACGACCCACACTCAGCTCACACTTGTTCCTGTAGCCTCGCTACACACAGTACACACACAGTACACACACAGTACACACACACAGTACACACACAGTACACACACAGTACACACACACACAGCAAGAGCCCAGGCGGTAGGCCCCCAGGCGAAAACCCACCACTCGCTCACCACACTCACCACGACCCACACTCAGCTCACACTTGTTCCTGTAGCCTCGCTACACTCACACACACACAGTACACACACAGTACACACACAGTACACACACACACAGCAAGAGCCCAGGCGGTAGGCCCCCAGGCGAAAACCCACCACTCGCTCACCACACTCACCACGACCCACACTCAGCTCACACTTGTTCCTGTAGCCTCGCTACACTCACACAGTACACACAGTACACACACAGTACACACACAGTACACACACACACAGCAAGAGCCCAGGCGGTAGGCCCCCAGGCGAAAACCCACCACTCGCTCACCACACTCACCACGACCCACACTCAGCTCACACTTGTTCCTGTAGCCTCGCTACACTCACACAGTACACACAGTACACACACAGTACACACACAGTACACACACACAGTACACACACACACAGCAAGAGCCCAGGCGGTAGGCCCCCAGGCGAAAACCCACCACTCGCTCACCACACTCACCACGACCCACACTCAGCTCACACTTGTTCCTGTAGCCTCGCTACACACAGTACACACAGTACACACACAGTACACACACAGTACACACACAGTACACACACACACACAGCAAGAGCCCAGGCGGTAGGCCCCCAGGCGAAAACCCACCACTCGCTCACCGCACTCACCACGACCCACACTCAGCTCACACTTGTTCCTGTAGCCTCGCTACACTCACACAGTACACACACAGTACACAGTACACACACAGTACACACAGTACACACACAGTACACACACACACAGTACACACACAGTACACACAGTACACACACAGTACACACACACACAGCAAGAGCCCAGGCGGTAGGCCCCCAGGCGAAAACCCACCACTCGCTCACCACACTCACCACGACCCACACTCAGCTCACACTTGTTCCTGTAGCCTCGCTACACTCACACAGTACACACACAGTACACACACACACACAGTACACACACAGTACACACACACACACACAGTACACACACAGTACACACACAGTACACACACTCAGCTCACACTTGTTCCTGTAGCCTCGCTACACTCACACAGTACACACAGTACACACACAGTACACACACTCAGCTCACACTTGTTCCTGTAGCCTCGCTACACACACACAGTACACACACAGTACACACACAGTACACACACAGTACACACACACAGTACACACACACAGTACTCACACAGTACACACACAGTACACACACAGTACACACACAGTACACACACAGTACACACACACAGTACACACACAGTACACACACACACAGCAAGACCCCAGGCGGTAGGCCCCCAGGCGGAAACTCACCACTCGCTCACCACACTCACCACGACCCACACTCAGCTCACACTTGTTCCTGTAGCCTCGCTACACACAGTACACACAGTACACACACAGTACACACACAGTACACACACAGTACACACACTCAGCTCACACTTGTTCCTGTAGCCTCGCTACACTCAGTACACACAGTACACACACACAGTACACACACAGTACACACACACACAGTACACACACAGTACACACACAGTACACACACAGTACACACAGTACACACACAGTACACACACACACAGTACACACACACACAGTACACACACTCAGCTCACACTTGTTCCTGTAGCCTCGCTACACTCACACACACACAGTACACACAGTACACACAGTACACACACACACAGTACACTCACACAGTACACACACAGTACACACACTCAGCTCACACTTGTTCCTGTAGCCTCGCTACACTCAGTACACACAGTACACACACACAGTACACACACAGTACACACACACACAGTACACACACAGTACACACACAGTACACACACAGTACACACACAGTACACACATACAGTACACACACAGTACACACACACAGAGTACACACACACAGCTCACACTTGTTCCTGTAGCCTCGCTACACTCACACAGTACACACACACAGTACACACACACACAATACACACAAGGTACACACACAGCATACACACAGTACACACACACAGTACACACAGTACACACACAGTACACACACAGTACACACAGTACACACACACAGTACACACACAGTACACAGTACACACACAGTACACACACACACACAGTACACACACAGTACACACACACACACACAGTACACACACAGTACACACACACACACACAGTACACACACAGTACACACACAGTACACACACTCAGCTCACACTTGTTCCTGTAGCCTCGCTACACTCACACAGTACACACACAGTACACACAGTACACAGTACACACACACAGTACACACAGTACACACACAGCACACACACAGTACACACACAGTACACACACTCAGCTCACACTTGTTCCTGTAGCCTCGCTACACTCACACAGTACACACACACAGTACACACACACACAATACACACAAGGTACACACACAGCATACACACAGTACACACACACAGTACACACAGTACACACACAGTACACACACAGTACACACACAGTACACACAGTACACACACACAGTACACACACACAGTACACACACACACACACACAGTACACACACTCAGCTCACACTTGTTCCTGTAGCCTCGCTACACTCACACACACAGTACACACAGTACACACACACAGTACACACAGTACACACACAGTACACACACAGTATACACACACAGTACACACACTCAGCTCACACTTGTTCCTGTAGCCTCGCTACACACAGTACACACACACAGTACACACACACAGTACACACACACAGTACACACACAGTACACACACACAGTACACACACTCAGCTCACACTTGTTCCTGTAGCCTCGCTACACACAGTACACACAGTACACACACACACAGTACACACACAGTACACACACAGCACACACACTCACACAGTACACACACAGTACACACACTCACACAGTACACACACACAGTACACACACAGTACACACACACAGTACACACACAGTACCCACACTCAGCTCACACTTGTTCCTGTAGCCTCGCTACACTCACACAGTACACACAGTACACACACACAGTACACACACAGTACACACAGTACACACACAGTACACACAGTACAGAGTACACACACAGTACACTCACACAGTACACACACAGTACACACACACAGTACACACACACAGTACACACAGTACACACACAGTACACACACAGTACACACACTCAGCTCACACTTGTTCCTGTAGCCTCGCTACACTCACACAGTACACACAGTACACACACAGTACACACACACACAGTACACACACAGTACACACACAGTACACACACACAGTACACACACAGTACACACACAGTACCCACACTCAGCTCACACTTGTTCCTGTAGCCTCGCTACACACACACAGTACACACACACACAGTACACACAGTACACACACACAGTATACACACACAGTACACACAGTACACACACACACAGTACACACAGTACACACACACAGTACACACACACACAGTACACACACAGCACACACACAGTACACACATACAGTACACACATACAGTACACACACACAGTACACACACAGTACACACACACACACAGTACACACAGTACACACACACACAGTACACACACAGTACACTCACACACAGTACACACAGTACACACAGTACACACACTCAGCTCACACTTGTTCCTGTAGCCTCGCTACACTCACACAGTACACACAGTACACACACAGTACACACACACACAGTACACACACAGTACACACACAGTACACACACACAGTACACACACAGTACACACACAGTACCCACACTCAGCTCACACTTGTTCCTGTAGCCTCGCTACACACACACAGTACACACACACACAGTACACACAGTACACACACACAGTATACACACACAGTACACACAGTACACACACACACAGTACACACAGTACACACACACAGTACACACACACACAGTACACACACAGCACACACACAGTACACACATACAGTACACACATACAGTACACACACACAGTACACACACAGTACACACACAGTACACACAGTACACACACACACAGTACACACACAGTACACTCACACACAGTACACACAGTACACACACAGTACACACAGTACACACACTCAGCTCACACTTGTTCCTGTAGCCTCGCTACACTCACACAGTACACACACACAGCACACACACAGTACACACACACACAATACACACAGTACACACAGTACACTCACACAGTACACACAGTACACACAGTACACTCACACAGTACACACAGTACACACAGTACACACACACACACACAGCACACACAGTACACACACACAGTACACACACAGTACACAGTACACACACACAGTACACACACACACAGTACACACACAGTACACACACAGTACACACAATCAGCTCACACTTGTTCCTGTAGCCTCGTTACACACACACAGTACACACACACAGTACACACACAGTACACACACACAGTACACAAAGTACACACACACAGTAAACACACACAGTACACACACTCAGCTCACACTTGTTCCTGTAGCCTCGCTACACTCACACAGTACACACACACACAATACACACAAGGTACACACACACACACACAGTACACACACAGTACACACAGTACACACACAGTACACACACAGTACACACACTCAGCTCACACTTGTTCCTGTAGCCTCGCTACACACACACAGTACACACACACAGTACACACACAGTACACACACACAGTACACACACAGTACACACACACAGTACACACACACAGTACACACAGTACACACACACAGTATACACACAGTACACACACAGTACACACACGGTACACACACAGTACACACACAGTACACACACACAGTACACACACACACAGTACACACAGTACACACACACACAGTACACACAGTACACACACACACAGTACACACACAGTACACTCACACACAGTACACACAGTACACACACTCAGCTCACACTTGTTCCTGTAGCCTCGCTACACTCACACAGTACACACACAGCACACACACAGTACACACAGTACACTCACACAGTACACACAGTACACACAGTACACTCACACAGTACACACAGTACACACACACAGTACACACACACACACAGCACACACAGTACACACACACACAGTACACACACAGTACACACACAGTACACAGTACACACACACAGTACACACACACACACAGTACACACACAGTACACACACAGTACACACAATCAGCTCACACTTGTTCCTGTAGCCTCGCTACACACACACAGTACACACACACAGTACACACACAGTACACACACACAGTACACAAAGTACACACACACAGTAAACACACACAGTACACACACTCAGCTCACACTTGTTCCTGTAGCCTTGCTACACTCACACAGTACACACACACACAATACACACACAGTACACACACAGTACACACACAGTACACACAGTACACACAGTACACACACACAGTACACACACAGTACACACACAGTACACACAGCACGGTACACACACACACAGTACACACAGTACACACACAGTACACACACGGTACACACACAGTACACACACAGTACACACACACAGTACACACACAGTACACACACACAGTACACACACAGTACACACACACAGTACACACACAGTACACACACACAGTACACACACACAGTACACACACAGTACACACACAGCACGGTACACACAGTACACACAGCACGGTACACACACAGTACACACACAGTACACACACAGGGTGGGTGGGTGAGTGAGTGGCTGAGTGAGTGGCTGAGTGAGTGGCTGAGTGAGTGAGTGGCTGAGTGAGTTGCTGAGTGAGTGAGTGGCTGAGTGAGTGAGTAAGTGGCTGAGTGAGTGGCTGAGTGAGTGGCTGAGTGAGTGGCTGAGTGAGTGCCTGAGTGAGTGGCTGAGTGAGTGGCTGAGTGAGTGGCTGAGTGAGTGAGTGGCTGAGTGAGTTGCTGAGTGAGTGAGTGGCTGAGTGAGTGGCTGAGTAAGTGGCTGAGTGAGTGGCTGAGTGAGTGGCTGAGTGAGTGGCTGAGTGAGTGAGTGGCTGAGTGAGTTGCTGAGTGAGTGAGTGGCTGAGTGAGTGGCTGAGTGGCTGAGTAAGTGGCTGAGTGAGTGGCTGAGTGAGTGGCTGAGTGAGTGGCTGAGTGAGTGGCTGCGTGAGTGAGTGGCTGAGTGAGTTGCTGAGTGAGTGAGTGGCTGAGTGAGTGGCTGAGTGGCTGAGTAAGTGGCTGAGTGAGTGGCTGAGTGAGTGGCTGAGTGAGTGAGTGGCTGAGTGAGTGTGTGGCTGAGTGAGTGGCTGAGTGGCTGAGTGAGTGGCTGAGTGGGCAGCTGACTGAGTGGGTGAGTGAGTGAGTAGGTGAGTGAGTGAGTGGCTGAGTGAGTGAGTGGCTGGCTGAGTGAGTGGGTGAGTGGGCAGCCGAGTGAGTGGGTGAGTGAGTGGGCAGCTGACCTGCAGGGGTGAGGAAGTGAGTGGCTGAGTGAGTGGCTGAGTGAGTGAGTGGCTGAGTGAGTGAGTGAGTGGGCAGCTGAGTGAGTGGCTGAGTGAGTGGCTGAGTGGCTGAGTGAGTGGGTCAGTGACTGAGTGAGTGAGTGGCTGAGTGAGTGACTGAGTGAGTGAGTGACTGAGTGAGTGAGTGACTGAGTGAGTGAGTGGCTGAGTGAGTGGCTGAGTGAGTGGATGAGTGAGTGAGTGAGTGGGTGAGTGGGTGAGTGGCTGAGTGAGTGGCTGAGTGAGTGAGTGAGCAGCTGAGTGAGCGGCTGAGTGAGTGGCTGAGTGAGTGGCTGAGTGAGTGGCTGAGTGAGTGAGTGGCTGAGTGAGTGAGTGGCTGAGTGAGTGGCTGAGTGAGTGGCTGAGTGAGTGAGTGGCTGAGTGAGTGGCTGAGTGGGCAGCTGACCTGCAGGGGTGAGGGAGTGAGTGGCTGAGTGAGTGGCTGAGTGAGTGGCTGAGTGAGTGACTGAGTGACTGAGTGAGTGGCTGAGTGAGTGAGTGGCTGAGTGAGTGGGTGGCTGAGTGGGTGAGTGGGCAGCTGACCTGCAGGGGTGAGGGAGTGAATGAGTGGATGAGTGAGTGGCTGAGTGAGTGAGTGGGTGAGTGAGTGAGTGGCTGAGTGAGTGGGTGGCTGAGTGAGTGAGTGGCTGAGTGAGTGAGTGGCTGAGTGAGTGGCTGAGTAGGCAGCTGAGTGAGTGGATGAGTGAGTGGCTGAGTGAGTGGGTGAGTGGCTGAGTGAGTGAGTGAGTGGCTGAGTGAGTGGCTGAGTGAGTGGGCAGCTGAGTGAGTGAGTGGGCAGCTGACCTGCAGGGGTGAGGGAGTGAGTGAATGAGTGGGTGAGTGAGTGAGTGGGTGAGTGGCTGAGTGAGTGGCTGAGTGAGTGAGTGGCTGAGTGAGTGACTGAGTGAGTGGCTGAGTGAGTGGCTGAGTGGGCAGCTGACCTGCAGGGGTGAGGGAGTGAGTGAGTGGCTGAGTGAGTGGCTGAGTGAGTGAGTGAGTGGCTGAGTGAGTGAGTGGGTCAGTGACTGAGTGGCTGAGTGAGTGAGTGAGTGGCTGAGTGAGTGAGTGGGTCAGTGACTGAGTGGCTGAGTGAGTGAGTGAGTGGCTGAGTGAGTGAGTGGGTCAGTGACTGAGTGGCTGAGTGAGTGAGTGAGTGGCTGAGTGAGTGAGTGGGTCAGTGACTGAGTGGCTGAGTGAGTGAGTGAGTGGCTGAGTGAGTGAGTGGGTCAGTGACTGAGTGGCTGAGTGAGTGAGTGGCTGAGTGAGTGAGTGGCTGAGTGAGTGAGTGGGTGAGTGGGCAGCTGAGTGAGTGGCTGAGTGAGTGGCTGGGTGAGTGGCTGAGTGAGTGGCTGAGTGAGTGGCTGAGTGAGTGGCTGAGTGGGCAGCTGAGTGAGTGGGCAGCTGAGTGAGTGGCTGAGTGAGTGGCTGAGTGGGCAGCTGACCTGCAGGGCTGAGTGAGTGAGTGGCTGAGTGAGTTGCTGAGTGAGTGAGTGGGTGAGTGGCTGAGTGAGTGGCTGAGTGAGTGAGTGGCTGAGTGAGTGACTGAGTGAGTGGCTGAGTGAGTGGCTGAGTGGGCAGCTGACCTGCAGGGGTGAGGGAGTGAGTGAGTGGCTGAGTGAGTGGCTGAGTGAGTGGCTGAGTGAGTGACTGAGTGAGTGAGTGGCTGAGTGAGTGAGTGGCTGAGTGAGTGGGTGACTGAGTGGCTGAGTGGCTGAGTGGGCAGCTGAGTGAGTGGGCAGCTGAGTGAGTGGGTGGCTGAGTGGCTGAGTGGCTGAGTGGGCAGCTGAGTGAGTGAGTGGCTGAGTGAGTGACTGAGTGGCTGAGTGGGTGAGTGACTGAGTGGCTGAGTGAGTGGCTGAGTGGGCAGCTGACCTGCAGGGCTGAGTGAGTGAGTGGCTGAGTGAGTGGCTGAGTGAGTGAGTGGCTGAGTGAGTGGCTGAGTGAGTGGCTGAGTGAGTGGCTGAGTGGGCAGCTGAGTGAGTGGGCAGCTGAGTGAGTGGGTGGCTGAGTGGCTGAGTGGCTGAGTGGGCAGCTGACCTGCAGGGCTGAGTGAGTGAGTGGCTGAGTGGGCAGCTGAGTGGCTGAGTGGGTGAGTGGGCAGCTGAGTGAGTGGCTGAGTGGGCAGCTGACCTGCAGGGGTGAGGGAGTGATGCCTTGGAAAGGACAGCACAGGTGGTCAAACTTCTCTCTCTGGTTCAGCACCCAGGGCTGCAGGGCACGGTTGTTGGCACAGATGTCCCTGGGTCAGAGGTCAAAGGTCAGAGGTCATGGGCAAGCCACAGTGAGTGAGTGAGTCTGTGAGTGAGTGTGTCAGTGAGTGGGTGAGTGAGTGAGTGGGTGGGTGGGTGAGTCAGTGAGTGAGTGAGTCAGTGAGTGTGTGAGTGAGTGAGTGTGTGAGTGTGTGAGTAAGTCAGTGAGTGAGTGAGCCAGTGAGTGAGTGAGTCAGTGAATGAGTGAGTGAGTGTGTGAGTGAGTGTGTGAGTCAGTAAGTGTGTGAGTGAGTGTGTGAGTGAGTCAGTGAGTGAGTGAGTGTGTGGGTGGGTGGGTTGGTGGGTGAGTGAGTGAGTGAGTCAGTGAGTAAGTGAGTCAGTGAGTGAGTGAGTCAGTCAGTGAGTGATTCAGTCAGTGAGTGATTCGGTCAGTGAGTGAGTCAGTGAGTGAGTCAGTGAGTGAGTCAGTGTATGAGTGAGTGAGTCAGTGAGTGTATGAGTCAGAGAGTGTATGAGTCAGAGAGTGTATGAGTCAGTGAGTGAGTCAGTGAGTGAGTGAGTGTGTGTGTGAGTGAGTGTGTGTATGAGTGAGTGAGTGACTGAGTGAGTGAGTCAGTGAGTGAGTGTGTGTGTGAGTGAGTCAGTGAGTGAGTGAGTGTATGAGTGAGTGTGTCAGTGAGTGAGTGAGTGTATGAGTGAGTGTGTCACTGAGTGAGTGAGTCAGTGAGTGAGTGAGTGTGTGAGTGAGTGTATGAGTGAGTGTATGAGTGTGTGAGTGTGTCAGTGAGTGTGTGAGTGAGTGAGTCAGTGATTGAGTGAGTGACTGAGTAAGTGAGTGACTGAGTGAGTCAGTGAGTGAGTGAGTCAGTGAGTGAGTGAGTGTATGAGTGTGTGAGTAGGTGTATGAGTGAGTGAGTCAGTGAGTGTGTGAGTGAGTGATTGAGTGTTTGAGTGAGTGAGTCAGTCAGTGAGTGAGTGTGTATGAGTGAGTGAGTGAGTCAGTGAGTGTGTGAGTGAGTGTGTGCATGAGTGAGTGAGTCAGTGAGTGAGTGAGTGTGTGAGTGAATGAGTGAGTAAGTCAGTGAGTGAGTGAGTGTGTGAGTCAGTAAGTGTGTGAGTGAGTGTGTGAGTGAGTCAGTGAGTGAGTGAGTGTGTGGGTGGGTGGGTTAGTGGGTGAGTGAGTGAGTCAGTGAGTAAGTGAGTCAGTGAGTAAGTGAGTCAGTGAGTGAGTGAGTCAGTCAGTGAGTGATTCGGTCAGTGAGTGAGTCAGTGAGTGAGTGAGTGAGTCAGTGAGTGAGTCAGTGTATGAGTGAGTGAGTCAGTGAGTGTATGAGTCAGTGAGTGTATGAGTCAGAGAGTGTATGAGTCAGTGAGTGAGTCAGTGAGTGAGTGAGTGAGTGTGTGAGTGAGTGTGTGTATGAGTGAGTGAGTGACTGAGGGAGTGAGTCAGTGAGTGAGTGTGTGTGTGAGTGAGTCAGTGAGTGAGTGTATGAGTGAGTGTGTCAGTGAGTGAGTGAGTGTATGAGTGTGTGTCACTGAGTGAGTGAGTGTGTGAGTGAGTGTGTGAGTGAGTGTATGAGTGAGTGTATGAGTGAGTGTATGAGTGTGTGAGTGTGTCAGTGAGTGTGTGAGTGAGTGAGTCAATGATTGAGTGAGTGACTGAGTAAGTGAGTGACTGAGTGAGTCAGTGAGTGAGTGAGTCAGTGAGTGAGTGAGTGTATGAGTGTGTGAGTGAGTGTATGAGTGAGTGAGTCAGTGAGTGTGTGAGTGAGTGATTGAGTGTTTGAGTGAGTGAGTCAGTCAGTGAGTGAGTGTGTATGAGTGAGTGAGTGAGTCAGTGAGTGTGTGAGTGAGTGTGTGTATGAGTGAGTGAGTGAGTCAGTGAGTGAGTGTGTGAGTGAAAGAGTGAGTAAGTCAGTGAGTGAGTGTGTGAGTCAGTAAGTGTGTGAGTGAGTGTGTGAGTGAGTCAGTGAGTGAGTGAGTGTGTGGGTGGGTGGGTTGGTGGGTGGGTTGGTGGGTGAGTGAGTGAGTGAGTCAGTGAGTAAGTGAGTCAGTGAGTGAGTGAGTCAGTCAGTGAGTGAGTCAGTCAGTGAGTGATTCGGTCAGTGAGTGAGTCAGTGAGTCAGTGAGTGAGTCAGTGTATGAGTGAGTGAGTCAGTAAGTGTATGAGTCAGTGATTGTATGAGTCAGAGAGTGTATGAGTCAGTGAGTGAGTCAGTGAGTCAGTGAGTGAGTCAGTGTATGAGTGAGTGAGTCAGTGAGTGTATGAGTCAGTGATTGTATGAGTCAGAGAGTGTATGAGTCAGTGAGTGAGTCAGTGAGTGAGTGAGTGTGTGAGTGAGTGTGTGTATGAGTGAGTGAGTGACTGAGTGAGTGAGTGAGTGTGAGTGAGTGAGTGTATGAGTGAGTGTGTCAGTGAGTGAGTGAGTGTATGAGTGAGTGTGTCACTGAGTGAGTGAGTGAGTGTGTGAGTGAGTGTGTGAGTGAGTGTATGAGTGAGTGTATGAGTGTGTGAGTGTGTCAGTGAGTGTGTGAGTGACTGAGTAAGTGAGTGACTGAGTGAGTCAGTGAGTGAGTCAGTGAGTGAGTGAGTGTATGAGTGTGTGAGTGAGTGTATGAGTGAGTGAGTCAGTGAGTGTGTGAGTGAGTGATTGAGTGTTTGAGTGAGTGAGTCAGTCAGTGAGTGAGTGTGTGTATGAGTGAGTGAGTCAGTGAGTGTGTGAGTGAGTGTGTGCATGAGTGAGTGAGTCAGTGAGTGAGTGAGTGTATGAGTGAGTGAGTGAGTCAGTGAGTGAATGAGTGAGTGTGTGAGTGAGTCAGTGAGTGTATGAGTGAGTCAGTGATTGAGTGAGTGTGTGAGTGAGTGTGTGAGTGTGTGAGCGAGTCAGTGAGTCAGTGAGTGAGTCAGTGAGTCAGTAAGTGAGTCAGTGAGTCAGTGAGTGTGTCAGTGAGTCAGTGAGTGAGTCAGTGAGTGTGTGAGTGAGTGAGTCAGTGAGTGAGTCAGTGAGTAAGTCAGTGAGTCAGTGAGTGAGTGAGTGAGTTAGTGAGTGAGTGAGTGAGTGAGTCAGTGAGTCAGTGAGTGAGTGTGTGAGTCAGTAAGTGAGTGTATGAGTGTATGAGTGAGTGACTGACTGACTGAGTGAGTGAGTGTATGAGTGAGTGTATGAGTGAGTGTATGAGTGACTGACTGAGTGAGTGTATGAGTGACTGAGTGAGTGAGTGTGTATGAGTGAGTGAATGAGTCAGTGAGGGTGTGTGTGAGTGTGTGTATGAGTGAGTCAGTGAGTGAGTGGGTGTGTGAGTGGAGTGAGTCAGTGAGTGAGTCAGTGAGTGAGTCAGTGAGTGTGAGTGAGTGACTGAGTGAGTGTGTGAGTGAGTGACTGAGTGACTGAGTGAGTCAGTGAGTGACTGAGTGAGTGAGTCAGTGAGTGACTGAGTGAGTGAGTGAGTCAGTGAGTCAGTGAGTGAGTGACTGAGTGAGTGAGTGAGTGTGTGAGTGAGTGTATGAGTGAGTGAGTGACTGAGTGAGTGAGTCAGTGAGTGAGTCAGTGAGTGACTGAGTGTGTGTATGAGTGAGTGAGTGACTGAGTGAGTCAGTGAGTCAGTGAGTGAGTGAGTGTGTGAGTGAGTGAGTGTGTGAGTGAGTCAGTGAGTGAGTGTGTGAGTGTGTGAGCGAGTCAGTGAGTCAGTGAGTGAGTCAGTGAGTGAGTCAGTGAGTGAGTGACTGAGTGACTGAGTGAGTGAGTGACTGAGTGACTGAGTGAGTGAGTGAGTCAGTGAGTGAGTGAGTCAGCGATTGAGTCAGCGAGTGAGTGAGTGAGTCAGTGAGTGAGTGATTGAGTGACTGAGTGAGTGAGTGAGTGACTGAGTGAGTGAGTGAATCAGTGAGTGATTGAGTGAGTCAGTGAGTGTGTGAGTGAGTGACTGAGTGAGTGAGTCAGTGAGTGAGTGAGTGTGTGAGTGAGTGTATGAGTGAGTGAGTGTGTGTATGAGTGTATGAGTGAGTGAGTGTATGAGTGAGTGTATGACTGAGTGAGTGAGTGAGTGACTGAGTGAGTGAGTGACTGAGTGAGTGAGTGAGTGTGTGACTGAGTGACTGAGTGAGTGACTGAGTGTGTGAGTGAGTGAGTGTGTGAGTGTGTGACTGAGTGAGTGAGTCAGTGAGTGACTGAGTGACTGAGTGAGTGAGTGTGTGAGTCAGTGTGTGAGTGAGTGAGTGAGTCAGTGTGTCAGTGGGTCAGTGTGTGAGTGAGTGTATGAGTGAGTGACTGAGTGACTGAGTGAGTGAGTGAGTCAGTGTATGAGTCAGTGAGTGAGTCAGTGAGTGAGTGAGTGTGTGAGTGAGTGTGTGTATGAGTGAGTGAGTGACTGAGTGAGTGAGTGAGTGTGTGAGTGAGTGAGTGTATGAGTGAGTGTGTCAGTGAGTGAGTGAGTGTATGAGTGAGTGTGTCACTGAGTGAGTGAGTGAGTGTGTGAGTGAGTGTGTGAGTGAGTGTATGAGTGAGTGTATGAGTGTGTGAGTGTGTCAGTGAGTGTGTGAGTGACTGAGTAAGTGAGTGACTGAGTGAGTCAGTGAGTGAGTCAGTGAGTGAGTGAGTGTATGAGTGTGTGAGTGAGTGTATGAGTGAGTGAGTCAGTGAGTGTGTGAGTGAGTGATTGAGTGTTTGAGTGAGTCAGTAAGTCAGTGAGTGAGTGTGTGTATGAGTGAGTGAGTCAGTGAGTGTGTGAGTGAGTGTGTGCATGAGTGAGTGAGTCAGTGAGTGAGTGAGTGTATGAGTGAGTGAGTGAGTCAGTGAGTGAATGAGTGAGTGTGTGAGTGAGTCAGTGAGTGTATGAGTGAGTCAGTGATTGAGTGAGTGTGTGAGTGAGTGTGTGAGTGTGTGAGCGAGTCAGTGAGTCAGTGAGTGAGTCAGTGAGTCAGTAAGTGAGTCAGTGAGTCAGTGAGTGTGTCAGTGAGTCAGTGAGTGAGTCAGTGAGTGTGTGAGTGAGTGAGTGAGTCAGTGAGTGAGTCAGTGAGTAAGTCAGTGAGTCAGTGAGTGAGTGAGTGAGTTAGTGAGTGAGTGAGTGAGTCAGTGAGTCAGTGAGTGAGTGTGTGAGTCAGTGAGTCAGTAAGTGAGTGTATGAGTGTATGAGTGAGTGACTGACTGACTGAGTGAGTGAGTGTATGAGTGAGTGTATGAGTGAGTGTATGAGTGACTGACTGAGTGAGTGTATGAGTGACTGAGTGAGTGAGTGTGTATGAGTGAGTGAATGAGTCAGTGAGGGTGTGTGTGAGTGTGTGTATGAGTGAGTCAGTGAGTGAGTGGGTGTGTGAGTGAATGAGTGAGTGAGTGTGTGAGTGAGTCAGTGAGTGAGTCAGTGAGTGAGTCAGTGAGTGTGAGTGAGTGACTGAGTGAGTGTGTGAGTGAGTGACTGAGTGACTGAGTGAGTCAGTGAGTGAGTGTGTGAGTGAGTGTGAGTGAGTGAGTCAGTGAGTGTGTGAGTGAGTGAGTGAGTCAGTGAGTCAGTGAGTGAGTGACTGAGTGAGTGAGTGAGTGTGTGAGTGAGTGTATGAGTGAGTGAGTCAGTGAGTGAGTGAGTCAGTGAGTGAGTCAGTGAGTGACTGAGTGTGTGTATGAGTGAGTGAGTGACTGAGTGAGTCAGTGAGTCAGTGAGTGAGTGAGTGTGTGAGTGAGTGAGTGTGTGAGTGAGTCAGTGAGTGAGTGTGTGAGTGTGTGAGCGAGTCAGTGAGTCAGTGAGTGAGTCAGTGAGTGAGTCAGTGAGTGAGTGACTGAGTGACTGAGTGAGTGAGTGACTGAGTGACTGAGTGAGTGAGTGAGTCAGTGAGTGAGTGAGTCAGCGATTGAGTCAGCGAGTGAGTGAGTGAGTCAGTGAGTGAGTGATTGAGTGACTGAGTGAGTGAGTGAGTGAGTGACTGAGTGAGTGAGTGAATCAGTGAGTGATTGAGTGAGTCAGTGAGTGTGTGAGTGAGTGACTGAGTGAGTGAGTCAGTGAGTGAGTGAGTGAGTGGGTGAGTGTATGAGTGAGTGAGCGAGTGTATGAGTGAGTGAGTGTATGAGTGAGTGTATGACTGAGTGAGTGAGTGAGTGACTGAGTGAGTGAGTGACTGAGTGAGTGAGTGAGTGTGTGACTGAGTGACTGAGTGAGTGACTGAGTGTGTGAGTGAGTGAGTGTGTGAGTGTGTGACTGAGTGAGTGAGTCAGTGAGTGACTGAGTGACTGAGTGAGTGAGTGTGTGAGTCAGTGTGTGAGTGAGTGAGTGAGTCAGTGTGTCAGTGGGTCAGTGTGTGAGTGAGTGTATGAGTGAGTGACTGAGTGACTGAGTGAGTGAGTGAGTCAGTGAGTGAGTCAGTGAGTGAGTCAGTGAGTGAGTGAGTGACTGAGTGAGTGAGTGAGTGTCTGAGTGAGTGAGCCAGTGAGTGTGTGAGTGTGTGAGTGAGTGTGTGAGTCAGTGAGTGAGTGAGTCAGTGAGTGAGTCAGTGAGTGAGTGACTGAGTCTATGAGTGTGTGAGTGAGTCAGTGAGTGAGTGACTGAGTGTGTGAGTGTGTGACTGAGTGAGTGACTGAGTGACTGAGTGAGTGAGTCAGTGAGTGACTGAGTGAGTCAGTGAGTGACTGAGTGAGTGACTGAGTGAGTGAGTGAGTGTCTGAGTGAGTGAGTGAGTCAGTGAGTGAGTCAGTGAGTGTCTGAGTGAGTGAGTGACTGAGTGAGTGTCTGAGTGAGTGTGTGAGTGTGTGACTGAGTGAGTGAGTCAGTGAGTGACTGAGTGACTGAGTGAGTGAGTGAGTCAGTGTGTGAGTGAGTGAGTGAGTCAGTGTGTCAGTGAGTCAGTGTGTGAGTGAGTGTATGAGTGAGTGACTGAGTGACTGAGTGAGTCAGTGAGTCAGTGAGTGAGTCAGTGAGTGAGTCAGTGAGTGAGTGAGTGACTGAGTGAGTGAGTGAGTGTCTGAGTGAGTGAGTCAGTGAGTGTGTGAGTGTGTGAGTGTGTGAGTGAGTGTGTGAGTCAGTGAGTGAGTGAGTCAGTGAGTGAGTCAGTGAGTGAGTGACTGAGTCTATGAGTGTGTGAGTGAGTCAGTGAGTGAGTGACTGAGTGTGTGAGTGTGTGACTGAGTGAGTGACTGAGTGACTGAGTGAGTGAGTCAGTGAGTGACTGAGTGAGTCAGTGAGTGACTGAGTGAGTGTATGAGTGAGTGAGTGAGTGTATGAGTGAGTCAGTGTGTGAGTGAGTGTGTGAGTGAGTTGCTGAGTGAGTGAGTGGCTGGCTGAGTGAGTGAGTGAGTGGCTGAGTGAGTGGGTGAGTGGGCAGCCGAGTGAGTGGGTGAGTGAGTGGGCAGCTGACCTGCAGGGGTGAGGGAGTGAGTGAGTGGCTGAGTGAGTGACTGGCTGAGTGAGTGGCTGAGTGAGTGGGTGAGTGAGTGGGTGAGTGAGTGAGTGAGTGGCTGGCTGAGTGGGCAGCTGAGTGAGTGGCTGAGTGAGTGGGTGAGTGAGTGAGTGTGTGAGTGTGTGACTGAGTGAGTGTATGACTGAGTGAGTGAGTGAGTGACTGAGTGAGTCAGTGAGTGAGTGAGTCAGTGAGTGAGTGAGTGTATGAGTGAGTGAGTGAGTGTATGAGTGAGTGAGTGTATGAGTGAGTGAGTGAGTGACTGAGTGAGTCAGTGAGTGAGTGAGTCAGTGAGTGAGTGAGTGTATGAGTGAGTGAGTGAGTGTATGAGTGAGTGAGTGTATGAGTGAGTGAGTGACTGAGTGAGTGAGTCAGTGTGTGAGTGACTGAGTGAGTGAGTGAGTGACTGAGTGTCTGAGTGTGTGAGTGAGTGAGTGAGTGTATGAGTGAGTGACTGAGTGAGTGAGTGACTGAGTGACTGAGTGACTGAGTGAGTCAGTGAGTGAGTCAGTGAGTGACTGAGTGACTGAGTGAGTGTATGAGTGAGTGAGTGAGTGTATGAGTGAGTCAGTGTGTGAGTGAGTGTGTGTGTGAGTGAGTGTGTGAGTGAGTGACTGAGTGAGTGAGTGACTGAGTGACTGAGTGACTGAGTGAGTCAGTGAGTGAGTCAGTGAGTGACTGAGTGACTGAGTGAGTGTATGAGTGAGTGAGTGAGTGTATGAGTGAGTCAGTGTGTGAGTGAGTGTGTGTGTGAGTGAGTGTGTGAGTGAGTGAGTGTATGAGTGAGTGTGTGGGTACTTGGCCAGACGCTGCAGGACAGACTTGGCCTGGGCCTGCTTCTGCTGCAGCTGCAGGACGTAAGGAGTGAGTGTCTGAGTGAGTGATTGACTGAGTCAGTGAGTGACTGAGTGAGTGAGTGAGTGTATGAGTGACTGAGTGAGTGAGTGACTGAGTGTCTGAGTGTGTGAGTGAGTGACTGAGTGTGTGAGTGAGTGACTGAGTGTGTGAGTGACTGAGTGAGTGTGTGAGTGTGTGAGTGAGTGAGTGAGTCAGTGACTGAGTGAGTGAGTCAGTGAGTGAGTGAGTGAGTGTATGACTGAGTGAGTGAGTGTCTGAGTGAGTGAGTGAGTGACTGAGTGAGTGAGTGAGTGTGTGAGTGAGTGTGTGAGTGAGTGTGTGTGTGAGTGAGTGAGTGTGTGGGTACTTGGCCAGACGCTGCAGGACAGACTTGGCCTGGGCCTGCTTCTGCTGCAGCTGCAGGACGTAAGGAGTGAGTGTGTGAGTGACTGAGTGAGTGAGTGTGTGAGTGTGTGAGTGAGTGACTGAGTGACTGAGTGAGTGAGTGTGTGAGTGAGTGACTGAGTGAGTGAGTGACTGAGTGTCTGAGTGTGTGAGTGAGTGACTGAGTGACTGAGTGACTGAGTGACTGAGTGAGTGTATGAGTGAGTGTGTGGGTACTTGGCCAGACGCTGCAGGACAGACTTGGCCTGGGCCTGCTTCTCCTGCAGCTGCAGGACGTAAGGAGTGAGTGTGTGAGTGAGTGACTGAGTGAGTGTCTGAGTGTGTGAGTGAGTGACTGAGTGACTGAGTGAGTGAGTGTGTGAGTGAGTGACTGAGTGAGTGAGTGACTGAGTGTCTGAGTGTGTGAGTGAGTGACTGAGTGACTGAGTGACTGAGTGACTGAGTGAGTGTATGAGTGAGTGTGTGGGTACTTGGCCAGACGCTGCAGGACAGACTTGGCCTGGGCCTGCTTCTCCTGCAGCTGCAGGACATAAGGAACTCGCCATAACGGCGTCACCGCATCGGACAGCCGCTCCCACGTGGACGCTGATGATGATGATGGTGCTGATGATGATGGTGGTGCTGATGATGATGGTGGTGGTGGTGGTGGTGGTGGTGATGATGATGATGGTGGTGGTGGTGATGATGATGGTGGTGGTGGTGATGATGATGTTGGTGGTGGTGGCGCTGATGATGATGATGGTGGTGCTGGTGCTGATGATGGTGTTGCTGATGATGATGCCACTGATGATAGTGATGCTGATGATGATGATGGTGGTGCTGATGATGATGATGGTGCTGATGATGAAACCGAAGCCGATGGCTGGAATCGTCTTTTGCACGGTGAAGGATCCAGCGAGGAGGGGGTGATGGTGGTGATGGTGGAGGATGAGGAGGTGATGGTGGACGATGAGGAGGTGATGGTGGACGATGAGGAGGGGATGGTGAAGCTTCGCTTGAGCGCCAACGGATCCACCTTGGGTTGAGCCACCTGATGAGGTCATCACAATCAACATCATCAACATCATCATCAACATCATCATCATCATCATCAACATCATCATCAACATCATCACCATCATCACCATCATCAACATCATCATCAACATCACCATCATCACCATCATCATCAACATCATCATCATCATCACCATCATCAACATCACCATCACCAACATCACCATCATCAACATCAACATCATCATCACCATCATCATCACCATCATCATCACCATCAAAATCATCAACATTATCATCATCATCACCATCATCATCATCACCATCATCAACATCACCATCATAAACATCAACATCATCATCACCATCATCATCACCATCATCATCAACATCATCATCAACACCATCACCACCATCACCACCATCACCATCATCAACATCACCATCATCATCATCAACATCATCACCATCATCATCAACATCATCACCACCATCATCATTAACATCAACAACATCATCACCATCATCACCATCATCACCATAATCACCATCATCACCATCATCACCATCATCATCACCATCATCATCAACATCATCATCATCATCACCATCAACATTATCATCACCATCATCATCACCATCACTATCAACATCATCATCACCATCATCATCATCACCATCATCAACATCACCATCATCAACATCACCATCATCAACATCATCATCAACATCATCACCATCATCATCATCAACATCATCACCATCATCATCATCACCATCACCATCATCACCATCATCACCATCATCACCATCATCATCACCATCATCATCACCATCATCACCATCATCATCAACATCATCATCACCACCATCAACATTATCACCATCAACATCACCATCATCACCACCATCATCATCACCATCATCACCATCATCACCATCAACATCATCATCACCACCATCATCACCATCAACATCATCATCACCACCATCATCACCATCATCATCATCACCATCATCATCATCACCATCATCATCAACATCATCATCATCACCACCATCATCATCACCATCAACATCATCATCACCACCATCATCATCATCACCACCACCACCACCATCATCACCATCACCACCATCATCATCACCACCACCATCACCACCTTCACCATCATCACCAACACCACCACCAACACCATCATCATCATCACCACCATCATCATCACCATCATCATCACCACCATCATCATCACCACCATCAACATCTCTGAGTGGTGAGTCCGTGTGTGGTGAGTCTGTGAGTGGTGAGTCTGTGTGTGGTGAGTGTGTGGTGAGTCTGTGTGTGGTGAGTCTGTGAGTGGTGAGTCTGTGTGTGGTGAGTCTGTGAGTGGTGAGTCTGTGAGTGGTGAGTGTGTGGTGAGTCTGTGAGTGGTGAGTCTGTGTGTGGTGAGTGTGTGTGTGGTGAGTGGTGAGTGTGTGGTGAGTCTGTGTGTGGTGAGTCTGTGTGTGGTGAGTGTGTGGTGAGTCTGTGTGTGGTGAGTCTGTGAGTGGTGAGTGTGTGTGTGGTGAGTGGTGAGTGTGTGGTGAGTCTGTGTGTGGTGAGTCTGTGTGTGGTGAGTCTGTGAGTGGTGAGTCTGTGAGTGGTGAGTGTGTGGTGAGTCTGTTTGTGGTGAGTCTGTGTGTGGTGAGTCTGTGAGTGGTGAGTCTGTGAGTGGTGAGTGTGTGAGTGGTGAGTGTATGATGAGTCTGTGAGTGGTGAGTGGTAAGCCTGTGAGTGGTGAGTGTGTGTGTGGTGAGTCTGTGAGTGGTGAGTCTGTGAGTGGTGAGTGAGTGGTGAGTGTGAGTGTTGAGTGAGTGGTGAGTGTGAGTGGTGAGTGAGTGGTGAGTCTCCACGTACCTTGGCTGTGAGTGTCCGCCCCTTCCACGTGATGGTGTTGAGTGCACTGATGGCATCGTCTCTCTCACCACCGCGTGAGTGAGTGGGTGAGTGGTTGGGTGGGTGAGTGATTGAGTGGTGAGTGTGAGTGTTGAGTGAGTGGTGTGTGGTGAGTGTGAGTGGTGAGTGTGAGTGGTGAGTCTCCACGTACCTTGGCTGTGAGTGTCCGCCCCTTCCACGTGATGGTGTTGAGTGCCCTGATGGCTTCGTCTCTCTCACCACCGCGTGAGTGAGTGGTGAGTGTGTGGTGAGTGAGTGAGTGGGTGGGTGAGTGAGTGAGTGAGTGGGTGAGTGGTGAGTGTGTGTGTTGAGTGTGTGGTGAGTGTGAGTGGTGAGTGAGTGGTGAGTCTCCACGTACCTTGGCTGTGAGTGTCCGCCCCTTCCACGTGATGGTGTTGAGTGCCCTGATGGCTTCGTCTCTCTCACCACCGTGTGAGTGAGTGGTGAGTGAGTGGTGAGTGGGTGAGTGAGTGAGTGAGTGGGTGAGTGAGTGAGTGGGTGAGTGAGTGAGTGGGTGGGTGGGTGAGTGAGTGGTGTGTGTGTTGAGTGAGTGGGTGAGTGTGAGTGGTGAGTGTGAGTGGTGAGTGTGTGGTGTGAGTGGTGAGTGTGTGTGGTGAGTGAGTGCTGAGTCTCCACGTACCTTGGCTGTGAGTGTCCGCCCCTTCCACGTGATGGTGTTGAGTGCCCTGATGGCTTCGTCTCTCTCACCACCGCGTGAGTGAGTGGTGAGTGTGTGGTGAGTGTGAGTGGTGAGTGGGTGAGTGAGTGGTGAGTGTGAGTGGTGAGTGAGTGGTGAGTCTCCACGTACCTTGGCTGTGAGTGTCCGCCCCTTCCACGTGATGGTGTTGAGTGCCCTGATGGCTTCGTCTCTCTCACCACCGTGTGAGTGAGTGGTGAGTGAGTGGTGAGTGAGTGGGTGAGTGGGTGAGTGGGTGGTGAGTGGGTGAGTGGTGAGTGAGTGGGTGAGTGGTGAGTGAGTGAGTGAATGAGTGAGTGGGTGAGTGGGTGGGTGAGTGTGTGTGTGGTGAGTGAGTGGGTGAGTGAGTGAGTGGTGAGTGGTGGGTGAGTGGTGAGTGTGTGTGGTGAGTGTGAGTGGTGAGTCTCCACGTGCCTTGGCTGTGAGTGTCCGCCCCTTCCACGTGATGGTGTTGAGTGCCCTGATGGCTTCGTCTCTCTCACCACCGAGTGAGTGAGTGGTGAGTGTGTGGTGAGTGTGAGTGGTGAGTGTGTGGTGAGTGAGTGGGTGAGTGAGTGAGTGGGTGAGTGATTGAGTGGTGAGTGGTGAGTGAGTGTGAGTGGTGAGTGTGAGTGAGTGGGTGAGTGGGTGAGTGAGTGGGTGAGTGAGTGAGTGGGTGGGTGAGTGGGTGAGTGAGTGGGTGAGTGAGTGAGTGGGTGAGTGAGTGGGTGAGTGGGTGAGTGAGTGGGTGAGTGTGTGTGTTGAGTGAGTGTGTGGTGAGTGAGTGAGTGGTGAGTGTGAGTGGTGAGTGTGTGTGGTGAGTCTCCACGTACCTTGGCTGTGAGTGTCCGCCCCTTCCACGTGATGGTGTTGAGTGCCCTGATGGCTTCGTCTCTCTCACCACCGTGTGAGTGAGTGGGTGAGTGAGTGAGTGGGTGAGTGAGTGGGTGGTGAGTGGTGAGTGTGTGTGTTGAGTGAGTGTTGAGTGAGTGGGTGAGTGGGTGAGTGGGTGGGTGAGTGGGTGAGTGAGTGAGTGGGTGAGTGAGTGAGTG